ATGCTTTGCCGTCTCTATCTTTTGTAACTTGTGTTTTTCTTGCTCGATGATCTAACAGATGGTTTTCTTTTGCAAAAACTGCACTTAACATGCTTTTAGTGGACAAAACTCCTGCTAAATCAGCCGCAGACATCCGCAGGGAGAATGCAGAGAAGAAAAGAGCCGCGCAGGTAACTAAAAACAAGGTAGTTATCACCTAACTTAACTTCCAATTTACTGCTTTGTTTCTTGGTGTACAAACGGTGATAAACCGTCTGTATAGTTTGTGCTTGGTCCCAGCTTTATGTCTGATTTCTGACTTATCTTCTAGGAGGGAGACAGGGCTCCTAGATCCCTTTCAAGGATCATCAGAGCAAGGTCTGGTGAGGAGACTTCTGGTAACAATTCCAGGAAGACCTCATCTGCTCATACGGCCTCCCAGGCGAATGTTGGAGGAAAGAGTCTACAAATACACGTAGACCTTGCCTCCCAGCCAGATGCTGCTGCGGCACTGTCTAGCGTCCCTCCCCCTTGGGCTGCAGGCGATTTGAGCCTTCAGCTGCCTCACCAAGGTATTGTTGAATTCTACAACTGTCTTGAGCTTGGCTGGCCGATGCGGGTCAAGCTTATTCTCGTCATCAGTAAGAAGGTTCCTCTGGTAGCCGGCAATCTATTGGAGGCGTTTATGCTGCTTTCTCACCGTCTCTTTCTGGTGCATATATGTCTCCCCGATGGCCGGATGTGCAGCAATTTTCCAAGGCCATGCTGAAGGCCGTCTCCAAGGAAGACAAAGAGGCCATCCCGGGTATACATGCGTTCAATGTTGACCGCATCCTGGCCCAGCTGGCTGAGGTATGAATGTTTCACTTTTAGTTTCTAACTTCTTAGTATTTTCCGGCTTCACTTTAACACTTTTACTATACAGAGGATGCTGCGGGTGGAGGGGGTGAAGAAGTCGTATGCCCGAAAACAAGAAGAGGTAAGGCGGGCAAAAAGAGCCGCTATCGACACGTCTGATGTTGCAAAGTATCAAATGATTATTCATGACCTCGAGACTAAGTCCGAGCTTTTGCAACAGGCGGAATCCCTCAAGCGGCTTCAAAAATCCGTCGATGAGGCCAACACCAAAATCCATAATCTAGAGGCGGCATTTGACAATGTTGAGCTTGAGCTGAAAAAGAAAGACAATGCTCTCAAGTCCTTGGATGAAACCAAGAAGGAGAACATCTCTTTAAAAGCTGACAATGACCGCCTGCTGAAGGAAAGGGCCGCTGCTGAGAAAAACTTCAAGGCCACCTTAGAGGCTGATCAGAGCCGGCTCATCGAGGAGAATGAGCACGACTGTGAAAACCACATGAGGATGGCCTAGTCCCTCCTGAGTCTAGAGGCGTAGTACAACACCTGGGAACGTGCTTACAAATATGCTGATCTCGCTATTCTGGCTAAGGAAGAGAACCAGCCGGCGCCCTAACCTTTCCAAGATTGGCTGAAGAAGAAAGTTGCAGCCGTTGAGGAGGAGGAGGAGGCAAACTCTAAGAGAGAGGAGGAGGATCACGAGGAAGTCCAAGAGAACTCTGCTCCGGCCCCTCTTGCCAAGGATGCGACCTATGCCCCGGCTCAGTAATTAAGCTTTTTTTTATTTCCGGCCTACGTGCCGTGTATTTTTATGTCTTTCCACCGGATGGGGATCCGGTTAACAATTACCCTCCCGGCCTTTTGGCCGGCTTCTAATGAAATTTCTACTGGCTGTGGCGTTGGTATTTGTCCACTCTCGCTTCAAAATTTCAATTCTTGCAATTTTGCCAAGTATCCGAATGCATGCGGGTTTTTTTCAATTCTTGCAATTTTGCTAAGTATCCGAATGCAGGCAGTTAACCGGTTGCAATAGGCTAGTTTGCCCCTGGACGGATGTGCACTTTGTTTTCTGGCATTTTCGTTATGTGCAAAAATGCATGCGGCTCATCAGGTACAACAGGCGTATTTTGCCCCGGACGGGTGTTTGCTTGGCACTTGACCCTACCCAAGCGAACAGTCGTCTAATAAGCATCCGGATGGACGTTAAGTAGTCATTGACCATCTCTGAAACAATTCTTAATATTTAATTCTAAGTTAGAATAACCGGCTGTGACCTCCTCCTTAGGTTAGTCAGTCTTTGCCAATTGTCTAATAGCAAGCGGCCATTGACCATGTGTAGGTGTCATAACCAAGTTATGTTTTAACTGCTAAGGTTTTGACTTTAAGTAAATCTTCAATGATGGTAACCGTATGTATTGTTACTGAACAATGACCAGTTATATCTAACCAAGATTTTAGTTACCGTTTGTATTGCCTTTGAGCAATAGCCGATTATATCCAGGTTTCAATTGATCATTCAAATGACTGTGAGTTATCTTAAATCTAGACAATCGGTAGCGCTGTTTGTGTTATAGTTTATAGAACAATGTACCACCCAAATGGGAGATTTCTCTTCGACAAATTCACCCGAATGGGCGTCACCGGTTGTCTGCTCATGTTGAAGCAGACATAAAGAATTTATATAATCCCATCTACACATTGTACAGACGGTAAATATGCAGAAAGCAAAATACAAGTGAAAATAAAGCTTCTTTTCGTTGATAAACTTTATTTACAAAAAATTTATAAGTCTTAGGAGTAGTACTTTTTCAAGTTGTCTACGTTTCAAGTTCTGGCCAGCTGCTTGCCTTTTCGAGTTTCCAGGTGGTAGGTGCTGTTTCAGGGTTTTTTTGATGTGTCCTGCGGGAGAGTTACAATTCCGAGAATGCCCTTCGCCGCCTGTACCTGCAAAATCACAAAGACTCCGGTTGGTTGGAGCTCCGCCTCCGACGATCAAGTCAGTTACGTACAGGAGGAAGATAGTGCGTAAAATAGTGAAATTACTTCTCACGTAATGGGAGAATTCCGCAATTAATATTGCTCAATTTTGGTGTAAGAGTGTATTGAATGTCTTGTATCAAATTCAATGGTATTGAATGAATACCCATTAATGAGGATCCCCCCACTATTTATAGTGGGGAGCCTTAGCTCCCCATTTAGGGTTCATGGGACACATGTCAGCAGGGGATTGGAGCCTTGCTGACCAATGGCTGGGTGCCATAAGTCGCTTAGCCATAGGGCCACGTGGCTGGGGTATTTTTTACCCCAAACATTTACCCCTCTCAGGTGATGACGTGGCAGGGTGCCACGTGGCGCCTGAGAAGAACGCTGACGCATTTTTATTTATTTATTTTTTTTTAACCTCTTCAGATTCTAACTAAAAGAAGAGGAAAAAGCAGAAGGGGAAAGGTCGCGACCCTTCGCCTTCTGAGGCAACCCCTATAAATAGGAGGAGACGCCCACGATAGCTCATTTACAAACTTCGCGAATTTTCTTGAATTTTGAGAGAATCCGGTATTTGAGTGTTGAGAGCAGACGGAAATCCGATAATTGATAGCAGCCGGTTTCCAGACCGCTTGTAAGGTAGCGAGCAAGCAAAGGTTTTTCGTGAGGGTACCCAAGAGAACCCTGCCGGTCTTCAAACCGTCTATGTCTTTGCAAGCATCCCCAAGAAATTTCTTGAGGTTTCAGCAAATTCTCCGTTACTCTAGGTACCGTCTCTATTCCTTCTCGCTTTTCCATGTATTTCCGTTTGCGTCTTTTGCTTGTGTTTTTGTTTATTAGTCCCATAGGTAGATGGACCCTTTATACCCATACCCGGAACATAATTGTAAACTCAGCCGGTCAATTAGCACGGCTGAGTCTAAAACTGGATCTGCCACCTCTGATCTTTGGAATTTCCCCTTTTCAACGCCGGTATCGACCGATTCCGTGTCTGTGCAGGACACGATGGCCAGAATTAGGGGAACAGCTATGGACCCTAATTACAGAGGCGGGGACTCAAATGAGTTGTCGCCTGAGAGACAAGCCCCGGACGAGGCGACTAGAGAACCATCCGGTGGCATTCTCTCCACCCCAAGCGATAACATCTTAGGCTCCTACAACGAGGACTCTTCCCCTGCTCAGGAGGCTGAGCTGATAGGATCCATCAACGAGGATCTCAACTCCCCATCCGGCACAGATGCCGGTAGCATCGAAAGTAGCAGCTCTAGCTACTTGATCGAGTCAGAAGATAGCGAGGAGGCGGAGAGGCCTACTTGGCAAAGTAAACATGACCCTCTCATGATTGCCGTGTCTCTTAAAGACAGGGCCCTCATGCGGTCTTCCCTAACAGACTTCATCACCAAGCGGCCGCTTGGAGAAGGTTACAAGCTGTCAGTACCGGGAGAGTACGGGACGGTTGTATGGGAAGATGACCAACCCAACGCAAACAGCTGGTTTGGGTGCTATGAAGCGGCTTTCCTAGCCGGGGTCCGCTTCCCCCTTCACAACACGATAAAGGCTATACTTAGGGGATATGGCCTAGGCGTCTGACAACTCACCCCTAATTCTTGGGTGAACATTCTAGGGTACATCGCCGCCTGCAAGATGCAGGATCTCAACCCCGGCTGGGAGGCGTTTGCCCAAATGCATTATTTAAGTAGAAGCCCAGGCGGTTGGAGGGCCTGGTACACCTTAACGACTTATCCTCAATATATGATGACGCTGGATAAGCCGTCTAAATGGTCGGATTGGAAGAACCGGTTTTACCTGGTCAAAGCTCCTACTGAAGAGGAGAATAGGGAGTTCCGGACCTACAACCGGAAACCAGAGCTTTTGGGGCAGAAGTGCCAGCTGCCCCTAGTGTCGGATAATGACAGGGAGGCCATATTGGACTCCGGATTTTTTGAACTAACCTCTTCCACTCTCTCAACCAGAGAGATAATAAGGGTTCCCAAACACGAATTCTTTAAGGACGAGTGCTTCTTGTCCGCCTGCGGGCTTAGCAGCATGTTTGAAAGACGTAGGTTACGAACCCTAGCCGGATAATTTTATGTCGGCTAACCCTTTTTCTTTTGATAGCGATGTGCGATATTATTATGGTCCTGACCGGATGTATTTGCGTTTTGCAGAAAAAGTAAAAAAACATGTTGCCCACCGCCAAGAAAGCTTCAGATATCCGAAAGGAGAATCTGGAGAAGAAGCTTGCCGCTCAGGAGGCTAAAAAGGTTAGCCCGCCTGACCCTTTATATTTGTTTTTCTTGGTGCTATTTTGTCCATTTCTTCACCTGACCGTTTGTGACTTTGTTTCAGGATGGGGGCGTTATCCCTCGCTCTTTGCAAAAACAGATCCGGCAGCGGCCGTCTATTGAGAAGCCTACACATAAGATGCAGAAAACCACTTCCACCGCCCGGGCTACTACCGGCGGTAAATCAATAAAGACCCAAGGCGGGTCTAACGCTGAAACAGCCTCGAAAGAGGCACCCCAATAAGGACCACAACCGGTCCATCTTCTGTTGGGGGCCAAAGGGCTTCCAAACAAGGTACAAACCCCTTCAACCTCACGCTGCTTGACCTACCCATGCGGTTTAAGTCATATTCTCAGTCTCAGCCAGGAGATTCTACGATCAGCCGGCTGTCCGTAGGCGGAGCATATGCAGCTTTCTCACCGTCTGTTTCTGGTGCAAATAATTCTCCACGCTGGCCGGATGCTGCTCAGTATGCCCGGGCCATGCTGAAAGCCGTCCCCCGGGACGAGAAGGAGGCGATTCCTGGAATCAATACCTTCAATGTCGACCGTGTAATGGTCGACCTGGCCGATGTAAGTTAATGAGTACCCACCTGGCATTTTATTTGTAGTATGCTCATCCGACTTTCCTACTAATACCAACTGTGTTGTTGCAGGAACTGCTCCGCGTGGAGGGGCTCAAGAAGGCCTACATCCGCAAACAAGAGGAGGTAAGAAGAGCCAAACGTTCTGCGGATGACGCACATTGCGTTGCCTACTATTTAATGATTGTGCATGACTTAGAAACTAAATCTATAATCATGCGACAGGCGGATCAGGTCAAGACCCTCCAAAAAGCCCTCAAAGAGTCCAAGCTCAAAGTGGACAATCTCCAGGCGGCCCTGGACAATGCTGAGGATGAGCTCAAGAAGCATGAGGAGCCCCTCAAGAGGCTTGACCAGGAGGAGAAGAGCAGCAAACGACTGCAACAAGAGAATGACCGCCTGGTCAAGGAGGCGGCTGCTACACAGGGCAACTTCCAGGCCACCCTTGAAGCTGAACAGAGCCGGCTCATTGAGGAGAATGAGCAAGACTGCGAGAACCGGATGAAGAGGGCGTTCTCCATTATCCACCTGGGTACAGACTACAACGTCTGGGAGCTCGCCTACAAATACGCAGATCTTTCCATTCTGGCTGAGGAAGAGGGCAAGCCGGGGCCTGGACCCTATGAGCAATGGGTTGATGCCGAGTTCCAACGAATGCAGGCGGAGACGGCTGGCAATGACGAGTTAGTCGAGGATGAGGTTGCTCCCGGCTCCGTCTCCACCACCGACCCAACTCATCCGGAGGGGAGCCTGGCTGAGGCTGACTAGGTGACAGTGCAGCTAAAGTAGCAACGACCTCCTGGCCTGCGTGCCGTGCATTATTTTGTAATAGCGCCGGAAGGGTCGGCTCATTCAGCTGTTATTTTTTACTTCGAGTATTGATATACAATTTCGCCGGCTGTGCCGGTTTCTTCTGGAAACATTTCATATTTCACCGGTTGTGCCGGTTTATTCAATGAATTTTGAATTCTCTTTGCTACTTACTTTTTGCAAGTGTGTGTTTCCGCATGACTGGTTGGGGTTAGGGTGATTGCCCCTGATAGGAGGCTGGTAAAAGTGAGATGGTGCCAGGCGGCTATCCATATGCCATAGTACGAATGTTAACAATTTAGCTAAGTGCTATTCGTTAAAATGAAAGACAGTCGGTTTGTACTGATTTGCCGGCTGAGGCTTTTGTTAAGGCCTTTTCGTAGGTTTTAGGGTGTCCATTTGCCGGTTGGGCTTTTGCAAGAACGCCCCTACATAGATTATGGCCTAAACCAAATATTTGAGACCTGCCTTCTCTTAGTGGATCAAGCGGCGACATTAGGTACCGGCTGTCTGTTTTGAGACTAGCCCTTGGTGGTACTTAACCCAAAGAGTGAGCTAGCTGCATGTTTGGGAGTGCTTGCCCGCGTTTCTTTGGGTGTAATGGATCATTCAGGCGGGTAGGGCCGCCTGACGTTTGATCACTAGAACGATTTTCCACCCAAATGGGAGATGTTCTCTTCGATGAATTCACCCAAATGGGTGTCACTGGATGATTTTTTTAGTTCTCAAGGCCGCTTGTGTTGAGCACAAGACATGGCGCATGGAAATTGTGTAAAGGCCGCTTGTGATAAGCACAAGACATGGCGCATGGAAATTCCGTAAGAAGGGCCGCTTGTGATAAGCACAAGACATGGCGCATGTAAGCATAATATGTAGTAAATATTTCTCATTAATTATGCAGAAGTTTACAAAAGCTATACAATTTCTAGAAGTAGTACTTTTTAAGATTGTCTACATTCCAAGTTCTAGGCAGATTTCTACCGTCTGGGGTTTCCAGACGGTATGTGTCGTCTCGTACTTCTTCAAAGATCCGGTAGGGTCCCTCCCAATTTGGGGTTAATTTGTCTTGTTCATTAGCCCTACCGGTTGCTTCCATTTTGCAAAGCACAAAATCTCCTACTTTCAAGGGCCGTTTATGAACCCGCTTGTTGTAGGCTCTTGTCATTCTCAGACGGTAGATCTCATGACGCAAGGCTGCGTTGCCCCTTCGCTCTGGGAGAGCATCCAGTGCAAGCCGCATTGGTTCCCAGTTGGCCTCCTCATCATATAGCATGATGCGAAGTGTTGGCTCATAATGTTCAATGGGGAGCACCGCCTCAGTGCCGTATTTCATAAGAAATGGGGTCTCACCGGTTGCCCCTTTTTCAGTGGTCCTGATGGCCCAAAGGACATGAGGTAATTCCTCTGCCCATAGTCCACCGACTCTTTCCACCTTCTTCTTTATACCGTCTAAGATCAGCTTATTGAAAGCCTCAACTTGCCTGTTTTCCTGAGGACGACCAACGGATGCAAAACAATGGGAGATTCCTTGGTCCCCTAACCAGCTTTTGAGGACAGGCGTTTCAAATTGTGGTCCGTTGTCAAAAACCATAGACATTGGAACCCCAAACCAGGTGATGACGTTTCTCCAAATGAAAGAGATCACGTCCTTTATTTTTATGCCTTTGACCGCCTCTGCTTCAACCCATTTGGTGAAGTAATCCACTGCCACCAAAATATAGCGGCGACCTCCTGTTGCAGGCGCATAAGGACCCAGAATTTCCATGCCCCACTTTGCGAACGGAACCGAACTATGGATGGCTGTCATGTTAGTTGCCGGTCGATGTATCAACCGGGCAAACTTTTGGCATTTGTCACACCGTTTTACCAAATCCATGGCATCTGCCTCAAGAGTGGGCCAAAAGTACCCTTGCCGTCTGGTTCTTCTAGCCAGGGACCTGCCACCTATGTGTGAGGCACAAAAACCCGCGTGAAGATCCTCTAGGACTTCTCTTCCCCTTTCAGGGGTTACACACTTTAGAAACGACTGTAGGTATCCCTTCCGGAGGAGCTCTCCATGATGCATAACAAAGCTCAGAGCACGCTTCTTGAGTGCTACTGCTTCAGAAGGGTCATCCGGTAGAGTACCGTCTGCTAAGTAAGCCCGGATGGGGTCCATCCAGGTGGCACTTCGGTCTAGGATTCCAATGGGATCATGATCAATGCTTCTTTTCTCAATGACTTCCCAAAAGACTGTCCTAGGAGCATCACAGGAGGCGGATGACGCCAATTTGGAAAGGGCATCTTTCTGATTATTGTCAGACTGGGGCACCTGACTTAAATGAAACTCGTCAAGTGACACGGCCTCCTCACTCACCGCCTGCAGATATTTGATCATAGCCGGATGGGTGGCCTCATAGTCATCATTGTACTAGCTAACGATCAACTGAGAGTCTGAGCAGGCGGTAACTTTTCTTGCCCCTGCTGCCTTACACATGCGTATACCGGCTAGCAGGGCTTTATACTCTACCTCATTATTTGAGGCTTGGAACTGGAACCGTAGTGCATATTCAAACTTGTCCCCTTCCGGAGAATGGCATATAGCGCCTGCACCACAGCCGTTCGCTGTAGAACTACCGTCCAAAAATAACTTCCAAACCTGATCAGGATTTTCTCGTTGCACCGGTCTAGTCATCTCGACAATGAAGTCGGCAAACGCCTGACCTTTCACTGCCCGCCGGGGTTCAAAAGTTATTTCAAGGCTTCGTATTTCAACATCCCACTTGATCATTCTGCCGGATGACTCGATGGTGGTCATTGGGCATTTAAGCGACTGGTCTGTATAAAATCACCAGGTGAGCCAAAAAGTAAGGCTTCAACCGTTTGATTGCTACGAACAGGGCCAACCCAAATTTTTCGATCATAGGGTACCGGAGCTCAGCATTTTTAAGTACGTGGCTGATGAAATACACCGAGAGCTGGTTACCGTCTCTCTCAGCGAGGAGAACGGCACTAAGGGAATGATCAGAGACGGCTAGATACATATAGAGAACCTCCCGGGGTAGGGGGCTCACTAGCCTTGGCAAGGAATGTAAGTGTTGCTTTAGCTTCTGGAATGCCATTTCCGCCTTTTCACCCCATTCAAATCTGGACCTCTTTCGGATGTCCTAGAGGCACTTGTCGCCTGACCGGCTGAGAAATCTTCCCAACGCCGCCAGGCAACCGGTCAGCTTCTGAACTTCTTTTACAGTGCGAGGAGACCGCATGTCAATGACCGCCTGCACTTTTCCGGATTAGCCTCTATGCCCCTTTGGTCGATCAAAAATCCGAGGAACTTCCCAGACTCAACACCCAATACACACTTCTTTAGGTTAAGCATGACCCGGTGTCGCCTGAGTGTGGTGAATGTTTCTCGGAGGTCAAGTAGGTGATCCGTCTATAGTTTGGATTTTACTATCATGTCATCAATGTACGCCTCTACATTCCTACCAATTTGGTTGATGAAAACTGTGTTTATCATGCGCTGGAATGTAGCCGGTGCATTCTTTAACCCAAACGACATCACCTTATAACAAAATAACCCCTGATCAGTGACGAAGGCCGTCTTTTCTTGATCTTTTTTCCATAGGGGTATTTGATGAAAGCCTGAATAGGCATCCATGAAACTCATCAAAGTATGACTGGCTGTGGAGTCGACCAAACTGTCGATCTTTGGAAGCGGGTAAATGTCCTTGGGACATGCTCTGTTCAGATTTGTGTAGTCTACACACATCCGCCAGGTACCATTCGGCTTTTTCACAAGGACAACGTTTGCTACCCAATCCGGGTAGTAGCATTGCCGGATGAACCCAGCATCTAACAGTTTTTTGACCTCAACCGCTGCCTCCTTAGATCTTTCTTCACCGTGATCCCTCTTTTTCTGCCAGACCGGCTTCTTTTTGGGGTCCACGGCGAGCTTGTGGATAGCTAGATCCGGGCTGACGCCTGGCATCTCTTCCATTTCAAAGGCAAAGATGTCTTTGAATTCTTTCAGAAGTTGGAGCAGGTATGCCCCCAACAACTCAAAAGCAACCGTCCCAACCTTGACAGTTCTGTCAGAACGGCTGTCGTCTAGGACGACATCAAGGCAGTCACCAGCCGGCTGAGGTCGTTGGTCATCTGACCTTTCCCCATCCTTCAGACCTTAAAAGAAGTCTATATAGGCCACTTTGTCGGACAACCCTTGAATCTGAATTCTCATCAGATTGAATCGTCTGAAGTAGGACCTTAGCCCTTCTTTATCTCCATGCTGAATAGCTCCCAAATCGAGTTTTAGCGGGGATATTCATAGAGAAGTTGGACACAAACAGGTATGCGAGCGTCTTGAAGTTGTTGATGCATCCGGCTGGCAGATTGCCAAACTATCGTTGGGCTATGCCCTTTAACGTCGCCGGGAAGCATCGGCACCAAGCGGCATAATCCAACCCCTGTAGATACATGAGGTTGTTGTACGCCATTAGGTGATCTTCGGGGTTGGTGGTACCGTAATAGGTACCAACCAACACATTCTTAACCTTGGTCGGCTGTGCTGCCTCGGTTATCTCCCTAGAGCATGCCGACGGCTAATCCCCATGTTTTAGTAGCCGGAGCTACCATTCCATTGGCTTAACATTCTGTGTTGTTTGACCCCCAAAGAGGGTCGGTTGCATGTGTTGTGATCCATACGAAATGTATGGCTGTTGGGGCACATACGGAGCCAAATGCATTATCTGAGGGCCAGAATGGACGGACAGACTGTCCTGACTGACCCTCTCGGTTTGATTGCAAATACTTCATCGAAGTATTCTGAAAGCTATCTGAGTAAGTCAACGTTGAAGCCGACTTAGACAATTGTTGACTTTTCTTCTGGTGGATTAACATCCGGGCATCCGAGTAAGTCTTTTTTGATCCATCGGGCTGAACTTGCTGGATGACCTTCCTCTTTCCTGTTACAAGGAATC